CTATGTCACCCCCTCAAGGCCTTCCCGCACCGCTATGCTCAGATGCTCGACTGCTATCTCCATGGCATGCCGATCTGCCAGTGTCCGACGGAATGTCTCCATGGCATGCCGATCTGCCAGTGTCCGACGGAATGTGATGGATGTCAGCGCGAGCTCGATCCCTCCGTTGCTGCACATCATCTCCAGACCTGCAAACGCCGATCCTCCAAGCTTCCCACGGCGCATGACAACCTTACTCGTACGATTCGGTCGATGCTGAACGAAGCTGGTCTTCAGAGCGTCATCGATACAGTGGGGGATCCTCGTTCTCGACGGCAGGTACCCTCCCATCCTCATGGCCGCAAGATGAAGGGCGATATCCACATCCCTGGAATCCGCGATCGAGGGTCCGAGCAGTACGAGGGCTTGATGGCGGACGTGACGTTGGTCCACTGTGACCCTTACATTGGAAGCTCTGCCGACCTGACCAAGTGGGGGGAGGTCAACCTCGACGCCCTCCATGTTGCAGCGTCTGAGAAGATTCGCAAACATCGCGCTGCATATGCCATGACTACTCCTCCTCGAGCGTTCATCCCTCTTGCCATCTCGACGGACGGTACCCTGCATCCTGACACCCTCCGCTTCATCTGGTATCTCGCGGACATCATTGCTCAGCGCTCAATGCCTCTTGAGGATGCGGCGTTTGGTCGGCACTTCGTGCCTGATGACGGACCTGCTGCTGAGGTCTTGGCTCGCAAACGCGCCGCCACCTATCAGCGCCTCACCATGCAGCTGACGCTGGAGGCGCTCTTGTCTGGTGCCAGGCGCATGACGCCCTTGCGGGCGCAAGCACTTCTCGAGCCACAGGACAGCTCCTCCTCGGACTTTGTCGAGTCGCCCGAGGGGGAGTCTTCGCCGGAGGTCTCCGACTCCGATGGGGGAAACACGTCGAGTGGCGCCGACGATCGGCGCGGATCTGGCGAGGCGTCTCCGTCCCTCACTGACGTCGCCGGGTGCCTCCGGAGAGCTCGACACCACTGGGGTGCTTGCTGCTGGTCCGAGCTCGCCTGCTTCCTCCCGGCATCGGTCGGGTCACGCCGGTCCTTGGGCATTGCCGCGGCGTCGCCGCCGTCACGGGCGGCTACCGCTGACTCGGCTACCGCTGACGAGGAGGCTAGCGAGGAGGACTACCTCGAGCGGTACCGTGTTCCTGTGTCCAGCCTCCCTCCGTCCGCTGCCCCAGGCGGACCCCCGGGCAACGCCGGCTCCTTGTCGGCGGCTGCCCTTTCTCCGTCCGCGGCCGCCCGCTTTGTGCCGGCAGCGGACGTCTCGACTGACAGTGGTCAGTCGGCTGCCTCCGGGTATCGCGTGTAAGGGATTTATTCCTCCTGCATGCTCCTGCTGCTTGTTGCTGGATTGCTTGGCCCTTCGGCTGCTTGTCTGCGCGGCTTCGCGCTTGGGCTGGCGATGCCGCGTCTGGGTGCCAGCAGTGCTGGTTCTTTTCGGGCTTGTGTTTTGTGTGTGATTGTGCCGCTCCTCGCTGTGCGCTGTGTGCCAGGAGGTTTAGCTTGATCCTGCTTTGTTTTGCTTGAGGCACTTTTTACCTTCACGCGATACCCGGAGGCAGCCGACTGACCACTGTCAGTCGAGACGTCCGCTGCCGGCACAAAGCGGGCGGCCGCGGAAGGAGAAAGGGCAGCCGCCGACAAGGAGCCGGCGTTGCCCGGGGGTCCGCCTGGGGCAGCGGACGGAGGGAGGCTGGACACAGGAACACGGTACCGCTCGAGGTAGTCCTCCTCGCTAGCCTCCGAGTCAGCGGTAGCCGAGTCAGCGGTAGCCGCCCGTGACGGCGGCCGCACGCCGCGGCAATGCCCAAGGACCGGCGTGACCGCAAGGGCGTCATGCGCCTCGCACCAGACAAGAGCGCCTCCAGCGTCAGCTGCATGGTGAGGCGCTGATAGGTGGCGGCGCGTTTGCGAGCCAAGACCTCAGCAGCAGGTCCGTCATCAGGCACGAAGTGCCGACCAAACGCCGCATCCTCAAGAGGCATTGAGCGCTGAGCAATGATGTCCGCGAGATACCAGATGAAGCGGAGGGTGTCAGGATGCAGGGTACCGTCCGTCGAGATGGCAAGAGGGATGAACGCTCGAGGAGGAGTAGTCATAGCATATGCAGCGCGATGTTTGCGAATCTTCTCAGACGCTGCAACATGGAGGGCGTCGAGGTTGACCTCCCCCCACTTGGTCAGGTCGGCAGAGCTTCCAATGTAAGGGTCACAGTGGACCAACGTCACGTCCGCCATCAAGCCCTCGTACTGCTCGGACCCTCGATCGCGGATTCCAGGGATGTGGATATCGCCCTTCATCTTGCGGCCATGAGGATGGGAGGGTACCTGCCGTCGAGAGCGAGGATCCCCCACTGTATCGATGACGCTCTGAAGACCAGCTTCGTTCAGCATCGACCGAATCGTACGAGTAAGGTTGTAAGATAATGGATTTACTGGCAGAAGGTAGACATGCGCCGTGGGAAGCTTGGAGGATCGGCGTTTGCAGGTCTGGAGATGATGTGCAGCAACGGAGGGATCGAGCTCGCGCTGACATCCATCACATTCCGTCGGACACTGGCAGATCGGCATGCCATGGAGATAGCAGTCGAGCATCTGAGCATAGCGGTGCGGGAAGGCCTTGAGGGGGTAGTAGCTCGAGACTCGCATCGGAGAGTGGCTCAGGTCTCGCTCAGGAAAATGAGCGAAGATGGTAGACTGCAAGACCCTATCCTGCGACTTGAGCGAGTGTGTCCTGCGGCTGTGCAAGGTGAGGATATCCGAGACGCTGCTGATCGGTCAGCGCAGCGCGAGCATGCACATGGCGAGGGAAGACGCGCATGACAAGAGGGGTCACATTTCGCTGCGCAGGCGGAGGAATGAAGTGCTCATGAGACGAGTACAGATGCCGGGGGGCGTCCTGCGTCATCAGGCACAGCAGCCGGGGCAGGTGGGATCGCCGCGCCATCTGCAGCTGGTGCAGGAGCCTTGACACGACGGTAGAGGATCGCTCCAGCATTATGAACGAAGTCGTGCGCCTCAACGAAGAAGGTCGCCAGAGGATGCTTCTGGGCACGGAGAGATCTCGAGCAGTGAACGTCCAGGCTATGAGGAGAGAGCAGCGTCCGTGACATCGGCTGGTCAGAGTACCAAGCGAGGAAGCGAGCGATAGCCGTATAGTAAACAGCGGGGTGTAGACCCTCAGAGGGCGTGAACTCGTCCCCTCCCCGACTATGCGGAAGCTCCCGCTTGAACCTCGCAAACTCTAGCAGGTCGGGATGCGCGGCGAGGTACTGCGAGGAAGGCCAGCGGTGGTATTTCTCAAGCGCCAGGTGGACAGAGAGGTCAAAGTGACGAATGGAGGCACCCGACGTCACAGTGAGGGACGGAGACGCTTCGCCAGCTCCGCGCCGATCGTCGGCGCCACTCGACGTGTTTCCCCCATCGGTATTGGATTTACTGGCAGAAGGTAAAAAGTGCCTCAAGCAAAACAAAGCAGGATCAAGCTAAACCTCCTGGCACACAGCGCACAGCGAGAAGCTGCACAATCACACACAAAACACAAGCCCGAAAAGAACCAGCACTGCTGGCACCCAGACGCGGCACCGCCAGCCCAAGCGCGAAGCCGTGCAGACAAGCAGCCGAAGGGACAAGCAATCAAGCAACAACATGCAGGAGGAATAAATCCCTTAGACGCGATACCCGGAGGCAGCCGACTGACCACTGTCAGTCGAGACGTCCGCTGCCGCCACAAAGCGGGCGGCAATTGGTAGCTCTGCCAACCTCCCGGCGCCGGAGAACGGACATGTCCACCTGGTAGGGCAGCGGACAGACTGATGCAGGGCTGCGCTGATGACGGTACTGTGCCAAGGGAAGTTGTGTGTTTGCGCAGCTCTTGTCGTTGCGAATTGTGTGCGTGTTTTCCTCACCATGTCTCCTTCAGCCTACGGTCGGTCTCGGGCCGCCTGAAGGCGCTTAGCTGTTCTCGAGTGTCCTTGACCGATGTCACTTGACTGACTCGGAGAGTGAGAAGAGGTGAACTTAGGTGAAGAAGCTCATTTGATATGGGGAAAGTAGCTTCTACTATCAGGCGAGCATCAGTTGTTTCTGGCAGCATGTTTGTAAATCTATCTAAATCTAACACGTCCACGCAAGAAGCAGAATCATACTCAGGAGGCTTGTTACACTTACGCGAGCATCAAGGTTCAACTCGTTGGCAGTCGCGGTCCTATTCGGTTGAGTTAGGAGACAAAAAGAGAGGATGGGACTCAAGCATACGCATTCTGAGTGGTAGTCGATGATACACAAAGATCGATCTTTATGTTATCCTGTTGGCACCATATGAGAGAAGTCAGCTCGGATCGCTTGAGCTTTTATCACCTTGGTCGCAACCGCTCGGATTCGGTTGTTGTTCGAGTCTGACACCAGCAGCACTTGATCGTTCATGAGCGTCACCCCCTTGGGACCTGCAGCTCCCCAGTCACATCCTCCTCAGCTGATTGTCACGTCGTCATGACGCTTCCACCGCTGAATCGCGCTGTGTATCCTTCTCCGTCTTGGGAGCCTGCAAGGCCGAGGCTGCTTCCGCTGATGGAGGACACGACGTTTGTTGCAAGGTCGATCATCCTTGGCAGGCGTCAGAGGCTTCAAGGCCCCCGCCTGTCACAGGCACCTGATCCTGTTCCCGTCGGTCTCTGAGACATACGCGAACTGCCCGACAGAGTCGATGGTGATGCCGTAGGGAGATTGAAACCTGCGCGCGTCAACTTCCTCCTCCCTCCTTTCCCTCTCACCTCGCATCCACTCCCATCCCGTCCTGGTATCCCGCCATCCCCGCTGCCCCAGCGAGGGTGGAGGTCATGGCTGAGCCCACGTCAATTTTCCTCACGACATGGTTGCCTGTGTCAGCCACAAGAATCTGCAGCAGGTGCTGGTCATGGGCGTGAGAGCAGGAGAGCATACGTAGGTTCCATCGGGCGAGAAAGTCAGTCCTCTCGGGCCGTTGAACGATGCTGTTGCGCCGTCTTGATATCCTCGTTGTCCGTTTCCCACGAACTTCGAAGTCTTGCCATCAGCCATGTTGAAGGTCAGGAGTTGATGGAGCTCAAGGTCAGAAACGATGAGAGTCGCCTGGTTCGGGGCCAGCGCAAGAGCTGAGAGATGCGAGGTCTGTCACGATGGGATAACAAGACACAAACCACCTGACGGCTGTTGCATGGAAGTCTGGACAAAGCTTGATGACCAACACAGTCAGGGACATCAGAGGAGGGCTCAAGCTTGGCAGACCTCCCGACCTGTTCTTGACCCACGTAGAGGAACCTGATCTTCTTGTTGTTGGTGTCGCTTACCAGCGCCGTCACCATGCCCGTGTTGAAATCAGTCTTGGTGGCCACGTCGCTGGGAGAGCTGTGCAAGCAGCATGAGCAAGGCACAAGGCACTCACTGAGGTGACTTGAACTCAGCCGATGTCGCCTGACCGTCTGCGACGCCCTGCCTCCCGTTCCCGGCGATCGTCGAGACCTCCCAGCAGGTTTCAGAGGTTCGGCAGCGGCTCGCCTGATTCACCTGTGCGCTGGCGAGCAGCCTGACCACGTTGTTTCCAGTGTCGACCACAAGGATGGAGTTCCCTGCTGCTCTCTCAGGCGTGGGGCTTCGGCCTCACCCCTACCGTTGGCCCACGTTGAGATGCCTGAGGGCCCCGAAAAACTCGCAGCCCCTGCAGCTCCATCGGCATAACCAGTGGCTCCGTTGCCAGCAATCTGAATCTAAGTGAGATGCAAAGAGAGAGGAAAAGACAGAAGGGATGAGAAACGAGAGAGGTGAAGCCTCACAGTGCACGTGTCTCCGAGCAGATGGGAAGTTGCTCGAGTTGCTAGCATCATCAAGCATAACGAGAGGCGGAAGAGAAGCATCTGCCTGCAGAGGTCAAACAAACTCGCTCGCTCTCTCAACCTCCATTCCTCTGAATCTATGTCTGTCATTATGATTTGTACGGTTTTTTATTCTTTGAGACGGAGCTGTACAAGACAGCGGACCGCGGGCTTGAAGAAAACAAGAGCAAGGAGGGACGGAGCAGCAAAGAGAGGAGATGGTAAAGGAAAGCAGAGAAGAGAGATTGAAAGAGATGGAGAGGAGAGAGGAACGAGAAATAGATCAACAGTTGGGAGGAGGTTGATCGAACATATACGGCGCAAGAAACAAGCAGGAGCAAAGGATACGGGCGTGGGAAAAAAACTAGAAACGAGAACAAGGAGCAAGTCAGAGGAAGGAAAGACAAGGAGCACGTGCAAGCTAGAGCACGAGAACATCGAGGACGGAGCCTAGGGAAGACCATCGAGCATGGGTTGGCTGCTGGTTGGGGCCCTGGGAGCCCTTGCTGGATGACGCCTGGATGCAGGCCTAGGGCCTGGATGGGGAAGGGAGGGCAGGAGGAGGGAGGAGGGCCACCAGAGGTAGTAGGGCCTTGGCGCGGCCTTGACTTGTCTCACGATACGGGAATAGATGGATCAGTGAACGATATGCCATGAAGAGGAATGCAGCAGCAATCAATGAAGAATGGCTCAGTGGATCATCTCAACCATGACTGTTGACCTGTATCAGCGCTTTGCGGCTCAGCTGACCAAGCAAGCTAATCAAGCAAGGTAGTAGAGTCCAGTAAGCTAATGATCAAAGAAGGTACGGCAGCCAAGCAAGGTGGTTAAGGTGTAGGTAGACTTCTAGGTTCGGACGGTGAATGGCAAGCTGCTCCTGATAAAAGCATGGCATGATGGTCAACCTCACCTTCGGGTGTTGCCTGGGACTCTGATGAGACACTTGAACTGTTTCTTTGTCGCGAGGTATCTGACTCAAGTGTACCCCAGTAGGCCCACGCCGCTCGAGCTCTCCGGAGGCTACGACATACAGTAATCCAGAAGCAAGAAAGTAAAACAAATGGGAGAGGGGAACAGAAGGAAACTTCACAAAGCACTACACCTGGTTTAGGGTTTAACGCTACCATTTAACGCTACCAAATCGTGTCACCCCCCGACGCTTTTTGGGTTGCAGACGTCTACAGCGCATGCTCAAGGCACCTCGGCTGGATCACGTAGAGGTGAAGAGTAGAGATGTGAAGGTTATAACACAAACACTATCGATTCGGCAGTTGTTGACGATTCTTTTATAGTCGAGGGGAACCACCAGGGGTGGTGAGGCTTGCCTCTTGCACGAGTGAGCATCCCTCGTTCATCTTCTTAGATCTGCTGCCTGCTCCTCCTCGAGGTTCATCCAATCGTGCTGCCGTTAGAGCCCTTGCTGCCCTCGTGGCTGTAAGACAAGACCATAGCTTCTCTTGCTGCCCTCGTGGCTGTAAGACAAGACCATATCTTCCCTTGCTGCCCACTCCTGCTCAATACGATTCCTTCCTGCTCTCCAGCTCCGCAACGGTCATCAGCCGCCTGGGCAGGCCCACCGTCAAAGAGTCCGAAAAATCGATCGAAGCTTCAGGCTCCTCAGGCTCCTCGACAAAGTCAGAGGAGGAGGAGGAGGAGGAGGAGGAGGAGGAGGAGGAGGAGGAGATTCGGAAGCACTACTTTGCTCTGTGATGCTTTGAGTTGCTGTGATAAGTTGACTAGGTTTGTCAATCATATTTTATTTTGGTTTCTTCATTTTTGAAAATTTGAAAGGAAGTTTGAAAGATTGACCCACTTGTCTGTGTTTTAACGGTCTTCACTGAATCGCTCGCATGGCGAGCTGGATCGAAGCGACAGCCAAGGTGATGTGCATGGATTCTTCCAGCATCATTGAGGGTCAAGTGTACCTAGTTTCTTCACCTAGCACCAGCATCATTGAGGGACAAGTGTACCTAGTTTCTTCGCCTAGCACCAGCATCATTGAGGGACGGATGTACCTAGTTTCTTCACCTAGCTCCAGCATCATTGAGGGACGGATGTACCCTAGTTTCTTGATCTGCGTGTGCAGGCGGCTGTGAAGGCGGCGGAGCGACAAGCTGCAACGAAGATCAACGAGGCCCGCGAGCCACCAGCTGGGAGGTAACGCCATGTCAGGTTGCTGGAGGTGCATTCATGTCTCGTCAGCTCGAGTAGAGTGGCGCCTCTCTCCTGCAGCCGCTTCGCCGTCATCAAGGTTTTCGCTCTTGTCCTCTTCACCTCCCTCACGCAACTACAGCCCGTCATGGGCAGACAGCTGCTGTCAGCACAGGGAGAGGGCACGCGCAGCCTGAGGAAGATCGACTGCCAAGGAAGACTGTGCAACACAGCCAACATCGCCTCGAACTCAGACCTCGTCAACAGCTCCACGGTCAGAGGCATCGGCGAGAGCTGCTGGAGGGGATGCAGCCCTGCAATCATTGATAACAACCCTGAACAGGAGGCCAGCGGTTCGCGTCATGCTCGCAAGCACTATCCCAGCCAGTCAAACAGGAAGACGAGCAGCTCTTTGTGTGCCTAAAGTTCTGTGACAATCGTCTGCAGAGAATCTTTCCTTGACCTCTCAGCTAATGCCAGTCAGGTCACCCTCATCTTCCTCCTGTCTTCTAGCTGCTGACTACGCATGGAAGCAGCGAGCTCGAACGCGCCATCACAAGGATCTAAAGTCGAGCCTTGAAAGCATCGACGGCTGCATGAGCGCCCGCTCTCAGCACGGGAGGTCAGTGCCGCATCCTCCTCCTCAACATGAACATGCCAGGCGTGGATGTTGACTCGGGGATGATGTAGAGTTGGAGGGCGAGCAAGAGTCCCTCTCGCTCAGGACGCCTTCCGTGCATCTGCGGGTCACGATGCTCCTCACGTAGATGTTGCATGGGCTGAGAAGCGAACCATGTAGCTCAGTTTGGTCTTGACAGTGGCATCCCACTGACACGGAAGGGCAGGAGCCAGACGTACGGGTGCAAGACCCGTCCGAGCGACTACTACGGGCGACACATGCGAGTATGAGAATGATGATGTGGAATGCAAACATGCACAGTCACAGTGAAAAATAGTACCCGGTAGTAGCCGTACGAGTAACCATGAACAGTACCGGTACCGTGCTACGAATCACGTGATGAGTACCATCATAGTACAGGGGCAGGCGTACGAGCAGCAGTCACTGAGTACCGTAGCCTACGAGTAATACTGAGTACCGCCGGTAGTACCGTAGTACGTACCGTAGTACGAGTAACGGTAGCCGGCGTACTGGTACGGTAAGTACGGTACTACGGCGACGAGTACGGTAACAGAGTCGGCCGGGCGTGTCCGGGGGCTGAGCCCGCCACTGGGCCATGACTGACACCGGGCCGTCACGCACCCGGCAGCCGGGGCGGCCGGGCGCTGGCCGGCTGACATGGCAGCTAGGGGGAAGTTGGGGTGGTGCCAGTGTGTCACACCGTGCCAGTCACGGTGACGGTGTGGCCGGGGCCCGGGGGCCCCCGGGTAGTCAGCAGGTAGTCAGGGCTTCGGATTGTACTGAGGCGGGCTGCTCTGAGCGCCTCATCCCTGCCCTGCTTCGCCATGCCGGCGGTTGCGGTAGAGTTGCTCGATCCTCCTCCCATGTCCTCCTCCCCCACAATCCCTTCGGTTTCCTTCGGTTTCCTTCCCCCCTGCCCGTCTGTAGGTCCCGCCCTCCATGAATCCCTTGATTCTTCACTTTCTCGCCTCCTATCTTGGTTTCGTTCCTCCTCGTCTCTCATCACTCCATTGGCCTCACCGCGATGCTCGATAGATGCGAGAGCCCAGGGCGCTGGAAGCTCCGGTGAGGATGAGCGGAGAAGTAGTGAAAGGGTTTGGGAGAGGAAGCAAAGTGCTCGGCATCCCCACAGGTTCGCTTCTACTCTCCTCCTCCATCCTGACGCCATGGCAGCCAACCTGCCGCACGACGCGCTGAAGCAACTGCCTCGCTCCTTTGAAACAGGCATTTACTTCGGATGGGCGACGGTTGACGGCGTTGGTCCTTACAAGATGGTGACGTCGGTTGGATGTAGCCCCTCCTCCTCTGATCTCCTCTGATCTCCTCTGATCTCCCCTCTCCCTCTTTCATCTCCTCTCTGCTTACTCTTGGCAGGGAACCCGCAATTCGCAAACACGAGCATGACGGTGGAGCCCCACCTCCTCCACTCCTTCCCTGACGACTTCTACGGCTCTTCCATCAAGATCGTCATCGTAGGTCACCTGCGGGCAGAAGCAAAGTTCGAGTCACTTGGTAGGAGAGGGGGAGGGAGAGAGGAGGTCCATGTTGTCCTGCCTGACTTCAGATGCAGAGAGTTTGATCGATGAAATTCACCTCGACATTTCGTCTGCTGGAGAGCTGCTGGACTGTGAGCCTTACTCCTTCCTCCGGTCAGCCTGATCTCCTTGTAGCGTTTCTTGATTGCCTGACGCCCCGCAGCTTCGACGAGTTTCTCTTCTCTCTTTCCTCCTCCTCCGCCTCCGCCTCCTTGCTCCTGCGTCGCACCCTCGTTGGCGCCGCTCTGCTAGGGATGATGCTGGCGGCCGTAAAGGGCATGACGAGAGAGGAGAAGGGGTCGGATGCGACACGTTTATTGAATAAGACCTGAACATTTCAACGAGTGGAGGGAAAGGGAGGAGTGTGGGATAAGAGGGAGAGGGAGGATGGAAGGGAGAACGAGAAGGGGAGTAGAGTAGGACGAGAAAAGAGGGAGAGGGAATGGCAGAAGGTTTAGATGTAGGAGATGAGATCTCCGTTCTTCCTGTCATCCTAGTCAGGCTGCGTTGCCATCTCAGATCTCACTGACGTCAAGTAGGCTTGAAGAGTCTTGTCAGAGGAGGAGGGAGCCGTATTCTCACTCTCCTCTTCCATCTTCTCCTGCAAGCCAGTCACGTCTCCTCCTCGCTCTGACTTCTTTCCATCAATCTGCTTCTGCTCTATCATCCTTCTCTTGCTCCTAACTTCCACAACTCTTTTCCTTGCGCATAGCTCACTCCTCCTCTCCTCTCCTCCATCTCACCGGCCGCGCGTTGAAAACAGCCTTTAGTTTCTTCGCTGATCGCTGTAGCAGCTGGACTTGCAGCTCCATCCTGGCGTGTAAGCGGACGAGCTCGAGCTTCTCCTCTCCTGCTGCATCCACATGCTCGCTGAGTCTCTTGCTCCGTCCTCCTGCCATCCATCCACCTCACTCCTCGTCTTCTCTCGCTGCTTTTCCTCAGCCAACATCTCCCTACCTCCCTCACCCGCCTGCCCCCCTCCTCCCCCATTCACTCACCAAGCTCGCAGATGGTGTCCTCGAGGTCTGTCGTTCTCTCCAGCACTTCCTCTGCCGCCGCTTCTCCCATCCATCGCTGCACCTCCGTCCAGCTCATCCCCCTCCCTCCCACTCCTCCCAGGTGCGTGCAAGGAGCCAGCAGGTTGTGGAAGTCTTCCTCCTCGATTTCAGACGCTAAGCTGTCCTTGCGACCATTAGTCTGCTGCTGATCCTCCGCTCCTGAGCTTGAGTCGCCGCTGCTGCCAATGAAGAATCCAATGCTCGCGTCCGTTCTGTCCCTCCGGTCAGCCTATCCTCCTCCTCCTCTCTCCCTCCTCCCTCTCCCCGACATACCCCACTGGTTCCTGTGTGGGATGCGACATCGACCGCGCGAGGACGAAGCCTTGCAGTCGCTCGGTCAGGACAGCCTGCAGGGAAGTGAGACAAGGGATGAGATACAACCATGGAATGGTGGGGTGAACAATTGGAGGAGCCGCAGGGAAGGAGGAGGGAGGTTTACCACTTGAGATTTCTTGACAGACACCAGGAGCATCTTAACGAGCCGAGTCCATCTGCAGGAGCCATCATCCTCCCCTTCCTTGGCTCATTGGCAGCTTCTCCCCTCTCCCTTCCCCCTCCTTCTCCATTTCCTCCTTCACCCCCCGCCCCCGCCCCCTCCCGCTCTCTCTTCCCCTTCACGTCTGCCTCCCTCTCTCACTTGTGTATCGGAGCCTCGAGGTTGACGAGAGCCCAGCGATGCCCGTCCAGCTCGATCACACCGTCGTACTTGGTGCGCCTGGCGGCTGACGCAAGGGAACCATGAGCAGAGACGAGGGAGGCGAGATTGGGAGGCGAGATTGGGAGGCGAGAGAGAGAGAGAGAGAGAGAGAGAGAGAGAGAGAGAGAGAGAGAGAGAGAGAGAGAGAGAGAGAGAGAGAGAGAGAGAGAGAGAGAGAGAGAGAGAGAGAGAGAGAGAGCGCCCAGCGAGAGAGATAGAGAGAGAGAGAGAGAGAGAGAGAGAAGAGAGAGAGAGAGAGTGTGAGAGAGAGAGAGTGAGAGAGAGAGAGAGAGAGAGAGAGAGAGAGAGAGA